ATTTTTAGATACGCATGTGTTTGGATACGCGTTGTATATAGTTGTGTGTGTTTTAATAAAGCTCTTTCTTTGCATAAACAGCTTCCTGGCAAATCTTCATTTCCTGTATAAATTCATTCATGTCCTTGATGGTAGCATAATAATTGTGTAGTAGTGTAGGATAACATAAATACACAGCATATGAATGAATAAATATATGAATGAATAAATATATGAATATATATATATGAATGAATAAATATATATATATGAATAAATATATATATGTAAATATATATATATGCCAACCAAACACAAGCGACTTTACTTGTTTAAAAAGAAGTGGTTCCGTCCAATACTCAGTAAGAAAATTAAAGCCTGGCGTGGCCACGTGTGGTTTTGCTGCCAATCACGAGCGATTTCATTTGTTTGAGAATAGTGGTTTCAGCCAATACTGAGAAGGTTATTCAAGCCAGACCTGGCCAGCCGCGCGGGTTTGCTGCATTCATATGCTAATTAGGGCCATTAGTACAGCTGATCGCTCTCCACATACGTCACGGTACGTTTTCGACAATTTGTGGCACGACAAACGCGGACATGCACGGGTTGCAAATTGTCGGAAACTGACGAAAATCAGGCAGATCTGCGGGAGTTTACGGGGTTTACGGGGACGAAAATCTCACTTTTCATGCAGTGTCTTCCCCTCATTTATGAACAAGACCCCAAGATACTTAATTTTCTCCACTAGGGGCAGTACATCCTCCCCAAACCGGAGAAGGCAATCTACCCTTTTACAGCTCAAGACCATGGTCTCGGATTTGGAGGCACTGATCCTCATCCCTGCAGCTTCACACTCGGCTGCGAACCGCTCGAGTGAGAGCTGTAGATCACGCCCTGATGACGCCAATAGAGCCACATCATCTGCAAATAACAGAGACACAATCCTAAGGCCACCAAAACAGATCCCCTCAACACCTTGGCTGCTCCTAGAAATTCTGTCCATAAAAGATTTTGAACAGAATCGGTTAAAAAAGGGCAACCTTGGCAGAGTCCAACCCTCACTGGAAACAAACCCAACTTACTGCCGGCAATGGGGTCCAGGTTCTGACAGAGACCTAACAGCCCTTATTAAAGGGCCTGGTACTCCATACTCCCGGAGTACCCCACACAGGACCCCCGAGGGACATGGTCGAATGCTTTCTCAAGATCAAAAAAAAAAAAAAAAAAAGTAGACTGGCTGGGCAAACTCCCATGCACCCTCCAGGATCCTGCTGAGGGTGTAGAGCTGATCCAGTGTTCCATGGCCAGGACGAAAACCACACTGCTCCTCATGAATCCAAGATTCAACTAACCGACCCTCCTTTCCAGAAACCTCACTGAAAAAAAAAAATGCAACGGTTTCTGGCATTTACTTAATTATATTGTTACTTTAACACAATTGTTTCATGTTGGCCGGGTAGGAAATAAAACAATTCTGTTAATGTAATTAAAGCTACAGTGTGTAATAATTACAGGGATATAAAGTCAGAAATGTAATATATTATACATAACTATGTTATTTATCATCACCTATGAGCTCAGCCTTTTAACCATAATATTTACGTTGCCTTAGAATTCGTTATTTATAATTACATAGGAGCGGGTCTCGCAGCCATGGAGGCTGACATCTTTGCGCTACGGCAGCGCAGAAGCAACAAACTAGCGATTGCGAGATCGCCCATTACGCTCGAAAGTAACTACGGCAAGTTGAGAGAGATTAACTGAGACGGTACTGAACAATAGATGGCAGTATTATGCCTGAGAAGCGTTTAGTCTGCCTGAAACCAAAGAAGAAGAAGAAGCAGGTATACTGCGCTTCAGTAACAAGAAAGGTGAACAAGGCGGCAGGCGTGAGTGACTTTGCAAACTGTTTGGCACTGTGTGGCCAAACATCAGACGAATGGAGGATCATGCCTACTCTGTATCACAACGAAAAGCGGCGGACACCGAACCCCCGTCATCTAAGAAGCGGAAACACGACGAGAATAAACGCAAGCGTGACAAGAAACGGCAAAAAACACGGATCAACATTGGCACGGCATTTACACGATGGAAGGCACTGACGGAGGAAAAAGGTTTTCAAAGTGACGCTCAAGTTGCCAGTTTTCTGTTGGACAGGTAAGGCCACAGCTTCATAAAATTACCACAGCTGATAGTGGCGTGTGTGAGTGTGAGAGAGACAGATATATGAAGCTGCATATTAGCGAGCTACGGATATATACCTCGGTTACTTCTCTCCGGCTCCTTTGGAGATCTTCAATTCTTTCCTCGTCCGCTATAGTCAACCCCCGCTGGCACCTCTCTCTCGCCTGGCCCTGGCTGCACGCCCACCCCGGCCTCTCTGCCCTCTTTTCTCCCTCTTCCTCGCGTTGTAACCCCCGTGCCACAAACAAGACTTGGACTCTGTAAACGGGGAATATATACCGGTATTCTTCCAGCGAACACAATCTCGCTGTTAAACTAATAACTACAATTACTTCGTCTGTTTATATCACCATGCAAAGCAGCTCACCAAAACGTCACAACGATGTAGAAAAAAATAACGGGTATATTTATTATTATCAAATCTATACCCTACACAGACTAATGAAATACTATCTGTAAAATTATCTATGTAAACAAACCTCATTACTTGAGAAGGTAGGTGATTCCGACGTCGTGGAAGACATTTTGTCCCGTAACGCTCGCCGTATTGTTGGGGGGGAGAAGCGGTGGGGGGAAATGTTCATGTTGCTGCAGTCTGCAGTCTGGACGTTAGATGTCGCTGAAAATTACACACTGTAGCTTTAAATATGATTAAGTAAATGCCAAAAGCGGTTGCACTATTTATTTCATTGCTTGAATAGACCTTACCAGGGAGGCTTGAGAGTGTGATTCCTCTGTAGTAGGAACACACCCTCCGGTCCACTTTTTTAAATAGAGGGACCACCACCCCAGTCTGCCAATCCAGGGGAACTGCCCCTGATGTCCACGCAATGTTGCAGAGTCGCGTTAACCGACACAGCCCCACAACATCCAGAGCCTTAAGGTACTCAAAGCCAATCTCATCCACCCATGGGGCCTTGCCACCGAGGAATTTTTTAACCACCTCAGTGAAATGAGAGATGGGAGAACCCGACCCGGAGCCCCCAGGCTCTGCTTCCTCAATGGAAGATATTTTGGTGCAATTAAGGAGGTCTTCAAAGTCCTCCGCCCAATGACATACAACATCCCGAGTCGAGGTCAGCAGCACACCACCCCCACTATACATAGTGTTGGTACTGCACTGCTTCCCGCTCCTGAAACACTGGATTGTGGACCAGAATCGCTTAGAAGCCATAAGGATGTCTTTTTCCATGGCCTCTCTAAACTCCTCGTCAGGTCTCCCTTTCATTGCCCACGTGAGAGTTGAAGTCCCCCAGAAGAACAAGGGAGTCCCCAGGAGGGGCACTCCCCAGTACCCTCCTTAAAGATTCCAAAAAGGGTGGGTAATCTTAACTGCGGATTTAAGCATTAGCACAAACAACAGTCAGAACCAGTCCCCCCACACTTATGTGGAGGGAGGCAACCTTCTCGTTCGCCGGGGTAAACCCCAAAGTACAGGCACCAAGATGAGGGGCCACAAGTATGCCCACTCCTGCTCGGCGCCTCTCACCAGGGGCAACTCCAGAGTGGAAGAATGTCCAGCCCCTCTTAAGGAGACTGGTTTCAGAGCCAGAGCCATGCTTCAAGGTAAGTCAAACTATCTCTAGTCGGAACCTTTCAGCCTCGCGCACTAACTCAGCCACCTTCCCCACCAGAGAGGTGATATTCCATATCCCAAGAGCCAGCTTTTTAAGCTGAGGATCAGAACACCAAGGTCCCCATGCGCGACTGCCACCCATTACACATTGTATCCGAGCCCTTTGGCCCCTCCGTCCTACAGGTGGTGAGCCCATTGGAAGGGGGACCCATGTGTCCTCTTCGGGCTGTGCCCAGTCATGCTCCATGAGTAAAAGCCCAGCCACCAGGCGCTCGCCAGCGTGCCCCACCTCCAGGCCTGGCTCCAGAGTGGGGTCCCAGTTACCAACGTCCAGGCAAGGGAACACTAGGTCAATTTATTTTATTCATCATAAGAGGCCTTTAGGCTGCTCTTTGTCTGGTCCCTCACCTAGGACCTATCTGCCTTGGGTGACCCTACTAGGGGATATAAAGCCCCCAGACAGCGTAGCTCCTAAGGTCATTGGGACAGTCAAACCCTTCCACCACGATAAGGTGCCAGCCCAGGGAGGGGAAGTTGCAGTTCATTAGATAGTAATCTGTATTTTCAGTTTCTATTTAAACTGGATCATTTTACTCATTAACATTTATCAAATGTCTTGGTCACATGTAAGCCATAAACTTTAGATAATATTTTATATATTGGATGTTTTTTTCTATATCAACTTATGCTGTTAAGTTTTGGAATCTTCACGGAGTTAATCACTATCTGTTGGTAATTAAAATCAAAACAGTCATCTTTTGAGGAGATGAGAGAGAAACACTGATTGAAATGCCTGGTTTGATTTCTCATTTCACACACCTGCTTAGCTCTGCCCAGCTCTTGTTACCGCTCATCTGATCCAACTGCATTAGTTTCTATTTAACCAGCCTTAAGACCAGTCATCTGTGCCAGATTATTTGAGCGGTTGATGAGAATTATTCTAGCGTTTTTGTGTTCTGACTACCTGATCCTGACCTATTTTGCCACTCTAAGGCTGCGTCTCAATTCGCAGGCTGCGTACTTGGTAGTACGCATTTTAAGGCTGGTGACGTCACAACGCTGCGCGGAGGCCGTCCCATTTGGCAAAAATTCTGAGGACGCTTAAAATGCAGCCTCAAAATGCGTCCTCCTTTTCCCCGAATTCTGAGGATGCATCGCTACCGTCCTTAGTGGCCTCGCCTCCCACTAGATTTCCCGAGGTGCTTTGCGCGCTTCTTTTTTTTTTTTTTTGTAGTTGAAGAAGAAGAAGAAAAAGAAGAAGAAAGTCGGATTTTCTTCAGGTTACGGACAACCGAAAGCAGCAGCAGCGCCGACAGTAGTGGGGAGAACACCTTTAAATGTAAGTAGTTTGGTTTTTTTTGTTTTTTTAATGAACATCTATTAAAATACATGACGGTAACGGAGCCACCGGGATGTGTAGGAGCAGCTAAAGCTAAAGCTAAGAGCTAACCTGTTGATACGTGATGTTCATCAACAATTAAAAGCCTTCATACAAATGTCACTATTTTTTATTTTAACCTACATCTTACTGTACTGATAGCCGTATCCCTCACTAATCAGATCTATTTATTCTCAAACAGTTTATTACAAAGGATTAGAACTGTTAAAGCTTAATGCAGCTGAAGAAACAACATTAGTCCAGCTGTACTGGGCTGTTAATATTGCAAACGTTTTGTTTTAATACTCAATAACGTATAGTTTATTTACAGTACAGTATAATAAGGTTTAAAGTATAATTCGCTTGAAGAACAATACAGGCATAATTATACAGAACAGTTATTTTGCCTGTTGACTTAACAGAAATATGCTTTACATGTCATTTTGTTCCAGGGAGCAGACAGAGGAGTGGATAAAATGACCACCTTATCATCGGGGCCAAAGATACTGCTGCAGTCGGATGGAGGGAAGAGTTGAGGCAGAATTCCATCTACATGTTGCATTTCTATGTAAAAGTCACACAAGTTAAAAGAAGTCCTGTTCAAACACCAACGTACAAATATAATCTTTTGATCACAACAAATGATGCCCAGATGCCACTTTTTGTAAATCTCATATTTGTGATAGAAGTGATTCTTGTGTGGGACAACTTAAAAAAAAAAATACAAAGTATGTTCAGGTTTGGATAATGTAATGAAACACACACACACACACATATATATATATATATATATATATATATATATATATATATATATATATATATATATATATATATATATATATATATATATATATATATATATATATATATATATATATATATATAAATAATGTATGTGTGTGTAGGGAAATTACATCTTACATTTATTATATTTATATGTTAATTTCCACTTTGAGTAAGCTTAAAAAAGTAATGTCCAGGTTACCATTCCAAAGTCTTTTTTTGTAGAATTTCATCAATCCATCCAAATCATGAAACATTCCTTTTTTCTAGCTTTAAAGAAACACTACAGAAAATAGCATCTGTTGATACAAATTGTTTTCCTCTACTTTAGGAATGCAAAGATCCAGGGCAGCGGGTCAGTGGAAAGCCTACTGCTGCCACCTGGCCCTGGTTTGTCCTTATGGATGAGGTATTAGGACAGAGGCCCTCTGTTGCCCCACCTGTCCTAATTGCCTCCATCCCTGAGGACACACCAGGGCCAGGTGCTGCAGAGGCTGAGCAGCATCAGGGTGAAGATGAGGAAGAGAATGAGGATGAGAGAGGAGTGAAAGGAGGAAGCGAAGAAGGAGTGACGAGTTGTTGGATTTAATCAGGGAGGATATCAGATGGCAGAGGGAGGCGGGAAAGGATGGACAGATTATTTCAGTTATTGGAGAGGATGGTGGACAGATGTTATTATTTTTTTTGTGTTTTTTTTTTAACAAGTTGAAGTTCTGTGTTGCTGTTATTAAATTAAATTATTAAATTGTTTATAAAAGTTATTGCTGTCGGTGTGTTCTTAAAGTCTTTTAACCTTTTTACATGATCTGTTTCATCACTTTGTAATTTAAGCAAACTTAGAACAACTTCTCAGTGACAGTTTATTTTTAGAGAAGCAAGTATTTACAATAAACTATTAAACATTTTTAACTATTGACATTAGATTTTAAAATTAACTACTACAACTATTTACAGAAGATATACAGTAAATATTACTAAAGAACATATATATACAATTGTCACTGAGCAGGAGTCCCTGGTGCTGCTGGACTGGATGGGATGCCACACAGATGAGCTTGGAGTCTTCTGACTGTGAGTGGGACATCATCTGGGGGGTGGGAGTTGCATCTCTCCACTGCTGATCCAATCGATGGCTGCCATGTTACTAAAAATGTTCAAAAAGACGGAGAAAATAATGACTTTACTAAAACTGTGTTTATAACCCTGAAATGAGAACAGCTAAAATGTGATTCTACTTGCCATCTAAATGCAACGGTGGTCAGGTAGACCCTCCTCCAGGGCAGACACCTCGGCAGACAGCTGGTCCCTCCAGTGAGCACCACTGTCTGCCTCCAACAAATTCTCCCACTCCTCATCCTCTGGCATGTCGTCCTGCTCTTCATCCTCTGGGGCTGTTATGACCTGTAGAAAAAAAAAGACAAAAATATTTATTTTTATTCAGTCATCTATCTTTTTTTCCTTATCTTTATTACATGATTTATTAGAAATTAAATTTTACTTATATATATATATATATAATTGCAAATAAAATCAGGCAGTAAGGGGATAACAATTTAGATGATTTATTTCTCAACAGTTTGGCTTCTCAACACAACATTAGTGATAGTGAAAGTAGTGATTTAAGTCAGTTATTTACAGGGTTTGTACACATTTAACTATTCAATTCAAATTACTAAAGTTACAAACAAATAAATCACAAACTTACAAATAAATATAAAACTTGATATTTAAACATATTCATCAATCTGCTGACAAGCGTTTATTTAATAACTGGTATATTCTGATCCTTAGCAGGCCCCTGTGGGTTAGAATAATAGCAGGTAGATCTTACCTCTCCACTGCGCTCTGCCAGCCTGAGAAAAATCCGTCGCAGGTTTTGCTGCCGCCGAAGCCGTCAAAGCCGACTCTCCTCTTCCAATAACAAGTAAATAAAAAAATAAAAATGTCCATATCTATTTTTTTGTTGTTTCTTTCCGTATTTCTCGAGCTGTCGGATTTTGTTTCGCGCTGTGTTTGGGGTAAATGTGATGACGTCGTGTCGCAACCAGGAAGTGCTCCAAAGGCTGAGGATCCTCCGGAGCAGCCTACCAAGTCTGGGTCCTCCGGAGGCTAGGTAGGCTGCGTCCTCGGAAGTACGCAGCCTGCGAATTGAGACGCAGCCTATGGCTGCCTGTTCCTATCTATCTGTTTGCCTGACCTTTCTTCTGACTCCTGCCTGATCTCTGCCTGCTTGTGTACCCACCGGAACCATCCCCCTACCACTAAGTCTGCCTGCCCTCACCAAGCCTGTTTGCCCCACTGTGTACTGTACCTGGAAGGGTGACCCGATTCTGTCTTGGATTCTCCTTTGGTGCCTCACCGGATCTCTGACGACCTGCCACATATTCGCCTTCAGCTTTGGCTTCGCCCGCTGGATCATCCTGCCTGTATTCGTCTGCCTGGTTTGGATCTCCTGCCTGTTCTCCGACCCTCAATACAACAGCATCTGGGACGCAACTTTTGAGAATAAATAGTTTGTAAATATACTTTACAAAAAATGTATCTAAATAAGTTTTTTTTTTTTTTTTAAATAAGTGCATTTTTCTAGAAATGAGGAGTGAAAGTGAGACACTGCCCAACAAACATGTCAATTTACATTTGAAATAAGAAAAAATCTATTGCATGTCTTATATTTTAAGAGTAAAAATACTCATTCCATTGGCAAATCATCTTATTCACCTATTTAAAATAAAGGGAAATACATTTAATTTAAGACATTTTTACTTATTTTCAGATCGTTTTTGCAATGTAACTAGGTTACTTTTGCTTTTTTAAGTAGCCTAACAAAAACTGTTCTTTACATCAATGAACACTGTTCCCTTTCACAGTGTCAGAGAGTATATATAACGATCATTATTCTTTTAGTCACATATTTTCTTCTTTTTGAACTATGTATATTGTTGATTCTGCTGGGGGTTGGACATCATATCATTCTTTAAGTAGGAATCAAACAGGGGATAATGCAGTACATATAAGACATTAGACAGGAAAAGAAAAGGTCGGATGTAAGAAATATTTGAATTTAGAACATGCGTATAGCTGTAAGGTTTTAAATCATTATTTTACATAAGAATATGGTTTAGCAGTTTACTGTTTAAAAAAATAAGCACTAATAATAGTGATTTACTCTAATCCAAAAGAATATTTAATATAGCCGAATGTATTTCTATTAATCTGTTGAATCAATATGTCTTCTTATGATAGTCAAGTTTATTACAAAGGCAGTAAGTTTCAGATATATTTTTAGCCTCCACTCTACCACATAAGGTTATTTAACAAAGTTTTTTTTTCCAGTTCTTCTTCCTCTAAAAATGCCATCACTGTATGAAAGTTGGCGAAAGTCCAACCATCAATTTCTGCATTCCTGTTTTTTGAGGTTATTGCAAGGGCGTAGGTTTGATTTGAACTTTGGTAGGGACACTATTGGCCTGGTGTCATTGGTGCTATGCAATATGCATGTCCTTTTTTATGCTCAATGTGAGCATCCGTACTGATAAGAGGAATTCATTGTTAAAAGAGAAAAACATTTTGCTCCATTAATAAAAATGTTATAAGCTCTACACTCATTAGATGCTGTTTATCAATGTTTGAAGTATCACCGGCTCTGATGAATGTGGAATTAGGACTGTTTTCCACTTTGAAAATGGTTTCATTTGAACGACTAAGAGAGAAGGTAAATACAGTATTTTCTTTTGAAGATATAGAATTGTGCAGAGTTAAACCCCACTCTAATATTTGTACCTACTATTCTCTCTCTGTATCAAGCAAAATAATACATTCATTAAAATATTAACTTCACTATAAAAGTTGAACATCTGGGCTGTAGTTACTCTGTGTAGCCCATTTCATGTATTTCATCTGGGGCTGAAAAAAATGAATCATATTAATTAATTATTTCAAAAACTGTCAACTAATTTAGTAAGTGATTCATCATTAACTGGAGAATAGAGACTTTAAAACATACAGTAATATAAATGTAAAATGTGCCTTTCCCCAGAGAGCAACCCACTTAGATCAGTTATTATATCAAAATTGTAAAAATAAAAACAAAAAAATGAAAACAGTAATATTAACTAAATATCGGTAAAAAAGAAACCCTCACATTTTCTTTTTTAGGTGGCTGTGGCTAAGAATCAGAAATGTTGATGCTTACAGCCTTTATTTGCCCATTTTTCCAGCAGTCTTCAGAACTCCTGGCTTACTCAGAATATTTCGTTTTATAAAAGAAAAAAAAAAAGGTTTTTGTTTTTTAGTGTACATGATATTCATTTTTTTTATTGGGACTAGTTTTGTAGCCTAATATTAATTGTAGTAACCGCAGCATTCTAGTGTGAATAAATTTTCAATGTTGTGCTCCAAGCGCAGGCTGACTAGAAAACAGCCAATCAGAGAGAGAGAAGGCGGAACTTAAGGCAGACCAACCAATGAGAGTTGAGTTAAACAGCGCAGCACAGTTCCATGCGCTGCTACATGAAAGGGACAGGAGAGACCAGGCAGAGGAGCTGTGAGAGAAAAAGAAGCCTCTGCTGCAACAACTACTGCTGTAAATTATAAACATGTTGCTCACATCCAATTATTGGTAGGGACATTTAGGTTGGTTCAAAATTTTGGTAGGGACATGTCCCTATGGTCCCTATGCAAACCTACGCCCATGGGTTATTGACAAGATTCACTTCTGTCTTACTTGAGCATAGGTCTTTTTTTAAGCACTTACATCAATGACATACAGATTTAAAAAATTGCCTAGTATAATTTTTATTCTAAGAGAAATTGCCAATCTCTGATGAAAAGATAAATTTATACAAAAAAAACTACTTTGATATGAAGTTTGTAAACAGCAAGAACAGCACAACATGATGTAACTAATCTAGTACTTCCGAGTATTGTATACAGCTGAAACTATCAGAAAACTTTTCCACAAAGTAAAAAATTTCTAGGTTTAAAAGGTGCCATTTTCCCTTAAACCCTGGAACAGTTTTGGTTCTGCATAAAGGGTAAAGATTATTCCATATTAAGTAGATTGTATTAGTATAATTTCTAGAATAACATAAATTATCAGATAAAATATTCACCCAGGAATCTTGCTTTCACTATTGCCAATACAAAGTGTTATGCATTTGATTCTTATCAGAAGTTAAAAATTCTGTTTTGGTAGTGAAACACACACACACAAAAGATATGAAAAACATGCTTAATTACACATTCTAGATGTCTGTACATGAAGCCAATATCAGATATATTTCATTCTCTTTTCCTTCCTTTTTTTGTTCTTTTACTTTAAAATTATCTGAGGTTGTTTTATTTGTTGCTGTCAAGTTTTTTTTAGCACCTTGTAGCCATGAGAGGGCAGTGCAGAGCTACATGTAGAATAGCTGAGTGCTCCTGCATACCTGTTTCTCATCAGGAGGACCAGCATCTTCTTGAGAGGACCTGGCTGCCAGTAAAATCCATTAAATAAGACATATAGGCATATACTACCTCACAGAGTTTTTAATTATCTTAAACAATAAGTTGTATTCAGATATTATAATGGATAATATATTTACTTATTGGTCTTACTATAACTCACTTTTACTGAACCTTGGGAATTTCTAACAAAATCACATTTATGTGCTCTAGAGCAGAGCTTCCCAAACATTTTAGTGTGTAACCCCAGAAATTACCATGATGCAGACTGGTGACACCTAAAGTGGTATTTACACCGAACACAAAACCTTTAAAAATACACCAGTTTCATGTGCTTCTCACCTGACATTTCACCTAAATTTGCCTGATGAACAAAAGCACTTGCCACAACAGGAAAAAAACTCAATTACATCATCAAGTCTGCAGGTTGAAGCAGGTCACAATGCTGTATTTACTTTAGAAAGCAGAACAAAGCTGCAAGCATTCCTTGGTCCAGGAGATCTTTTGGAGATGCTCCCACTTCAGGGACTCGAGTTGCTATAACTGGATCACAGCTGCTCTTCATGGAGCTTAAGGTAAAAGATGGGATTCTAGAGTTCAAACAGGAGCAGCAGGGAAATAAGGCAAGAAACCAGGATGAGAGAGCACAGAACCAGGACGAGGGACCATGGCATGCCATATGGTGCTAAGGAACCACAGTGGGAGATTGAAGGAGGAGGATAAGATTGAAAAAGCCTGGTTGGAGAGCAACAGTGTAGAGGTGACAGTCCTTGTAGGGATAAATTAAAATGGCATTTTAAAAAGCCACTTACAAACTCTATAAGAGCATTTTGTTCCTTATCATTGGTCAACATAATTTTTCCTATCTTCTATTTTGAGTTAATAAGCTTGTCTCCACTTCACCTAAGGTCACAGCCACAGATAGTCCCTGAATCGTTTTCATAACGTGAATATAATCAAAAGCTTGCATTTTGTCAACCTCAGCGAATTCAGCTTTGAATAGTTTGCAGTTGCCATGATGCTCTTGATTCAGTATATTTGTCAAAAACTCTTTGCCTGGCTAGAATTGCAAGTTTTGCCTCGTTCTGCTCTGGCCGAGCTCCTGAACTACCCTCTGCATAGGGATAACATGTAAATCGTTCCCTCAGGGTGCAAAATTTGCTCTTTGTGTGAAGGCACTTTGAAATACATGAAGTTATGGCACGCTGTAATAATGTATAAATATAGATTAAAATAGTTCTATTCATTTCAAAATGTAATTTATATTTCAAATTTCTTTCAACTAATTCATTTTAAATGTCATAATGTAATGTATATTTAAAGGTATAGTGGAGGATGTTCTTTTTCCAGGTGAATCATCAAATAAGTGGTCCTCCTAATTGTCAATCATTTTGGTGATATATTTATGTAAGGCAGTCCTACATGCTTGCCCCCATTTTCACTTACCGATAGTGAGTCTGACATGGTGGAATAGATACTTTAGGGATCTCACCACAATGACTCTAGAGGGGTATTTTACAGTATCTAATGTGTTTTCAGTTTAATGCACTAATAGAAAAAGGAACTCTCAGATCAAAAAACTTAAGACATTTTTTTAAAATCATTTTGCGCTTTGTGGCTTGATTCCTGTTGCCTGCTATGTTATACAAACTTCCTTCTTCTGTATCCAGCAAAGATTACACCAATCTGCATATATACTTTTAATGCCAAAAAACGCACATAGAGCAGCAACTTGTGGCTTTCCTAATATTTTAAGCATCTGTTGTTCAATACAGAACATGCCACTATCATAAAATATGCGTCTAACCCAGATCATCTGCGTAGGAGTCAAGGCATGTCTATGTCTGTTGTGCTGCTGAATTTTGTGACCCAGCAGTTTGCATTGGTAGAGTTTATCATCCCCAGAAAAACGGTAATACTCATGCTTGTTAGGTCGAGCGGAGGTTTGAAGAACCCAAATGCAGAGATGGAGGCTGAGGTGGTTTCTTGCAAGTTTAATATCCAGAAACGGTGGCAAATGAGACAAAAACCCACAAAGAACAAATTCAGGAAACCAAGAACTAAATGACTTTAGGTAAATCAGACATGAGGATCAAAAAATGACGACGACAACCCCGCAAAGACTGACTGAACAGGAGATGTATATATGGGAGACAGAAACAATGGGAGGACTAATTAGCAGACGAGGAACAGGTGTGGACAGAAGAATCTAGAAGGGAGCTATTGGAAGGAGACGGATACAAGAGGACAAAATAGGGTAAACAAGAAATACATAAGAAGTCAAATACAACCAGAAAACAACTAAAAATTGAAAAAAACAACAACAGTAAAACTCAAAAAGAAAACTTAAACAAAACCATTACGATGCTATACTTTCTGTGATTACTTATCACTCCAGTGTTAATGTCACCTCTGCTTCGGGTAAATATTTTTCAAAGATTTTTATTCAGTCATTTTAAAGTTGTTGTTTTTTTTTTTTTATTTGCTTTACAAAAAAAATTTGGTTTGAATTATTTGTAGTGTTTTAAATACAATTTTAAATGTATTGCAAAAACGCATGCGCTAGTTAAATAAAATGCCTAACGCCTCAAATCAAACCCTTTCCTTGATTGGTTTAGGTTTGGTTATCTACATAATTAAAGGCAGTTCAAACAAGAAAATTCAATTAATTTTCTGAGCTGCAAAATGACCAAAGGTTAACACATGTAGGCACATCTGAGACTGAATAAATGTTACATAATAAGAAAGAACTGCTATAAACACTCAAAGTAAGGAAGCTTTAAGGAAAATGACAGGAGTAGCCATGCTGAGTGCAGAATTGTTGTTTTTATTTATTTTTGATTTGTTTGTTTGTTTGTTTGTTTGCTTTGATGTCAAAAGCCAATTCATTGAGTTGCTCTCCACATTTCTGTGCTTCTGTAAATTTTCACTTTCACTTTTCAACCAAAGCCATTTTTATTCATAGCCAGGTTATTTGACATATTTAAGATTGAGGCAGATATTCACCATGTTTGCTTTGAAACTATAGCTCAGATAGAGCTGAACAGCAATGCTTTAAGTAGCACTCATAAGTAAGTAGCCTACTGATGCTGCCTGCACAGTCACACACAGCAGTTTGGAGGAAAATAGTTTTGAAATCACCTCAGAAAAATAAAAGAGAACTTAAAAAAAATGAAATGTTAAAATAATGATATCAAGCTTTGGCAGCCTTGCTATTGTAACAAGTTATATAATAACTTGGAGTAAAATGGGTAAACAAGATGAGATTATCTGGTATCTATATTCCCATTTGAGATTGTCTTTAAAAACTCCCACTAATGTCTATGATCTTTATACCGATTGTCAATGAAATATTGGTAATAAGATAATTTCTCGTCTCACAAAGACATTTCACAGAATAACGTCACCACGATTATACATTATTTTTTTATATTTGGAACATACAGTGTAGCCAATTATTGTCTTCAGGGCATTTGGTTTTGTCTTCATGAAACAAGCTGTATCACTGTGTGAGTGGCACCGATGCAGGCTCCACATTTCATTATCCTTAGTTGATGAAGGAGGTCAATCGGGGATGGTGCAGTATAGATGGTAGATATCAAGCTGGAAAATAAAAAGAGCAAGCATTAATCTAATTTTTAGCATGTATACACCTTCAAGTTTAAGAAATATATTTTTAACAAAAATTGTCACATACATCATCAGCTTTTAGCTTTTTGGTGGCAAATTCCCCATGACCTGAAAAGGAACAGAAAACATCTGACATGAGCAAGTATCAGGTGTGGCTATTTAGTGTCTGCGTGGATTATACAAAAACCTTAAACAAAATGTTTGATTACTGCAAATACATAGCATTATGAAATAGCTGTTTACCTTGGAGAACTTCCATCGCGTAAACACAATCTGTATTATTTTAATATTATAAGGCAGTAAAGTAATCCTTTCTCAATTGTAGCCTATGATTTTTTTAAAGTGTAAAAAATACATAAGCATAACATTCCCAAAACGTTCAGTTAATAAATATAGAAATACCTTTCACAAAATATTTTATATTTTTTGTCTAGCTATTTACATTTTCACATACCCAGATGACTTGGCCAATTATAGACCTATGTCCAATCTTCCTTTCCTATCTAAAAGTCTTGAGGAAAAAGTTGCCAAACAAATGTGTGACCACTGACACCATAATTAAGTTTTTGAAAAGTTTCAATCTGGTTTTAGAACTCATCACTGAACAGTTTTGGTGAAAGTCACTAATGATATTCTCATGGCCTCAGATAATGAACTTTTATCTGTACTTGTCCTGTTAGATCTCAGCACTGCATTTAAGGGAACTAGGCTGGTTTGAATCCTATCTATGTGACAGATTTCCGTTTGTTCTTATTAATGATAAATCTTCGTCGTGCTCCAGGGCTAGGGCCAAATCTCTTATATATATATATATATATATATATATATATATATATATATATATATATATACATGGCCCCAGTTGATAGAGTTTTAAGACGGCAAGAGATTAATTTCCACTGTTCTGCTGACGATACTCAGCTATATCTGTCTATAGATCCAGAGGAAACTAACCCATTACATAGACTAAAGCCATGTCTTGAACAGAAACAAACCTGGATGACTAAGTTTTTGCCTCTGAATGTAGACAAAACAGAAGTTATTGTATTTGGACCAGTTTTTCAAGTGAGTCGAGGTGGTTTTCTTTAGATAGAAATCTTTGAACCAATTTTACTCCATGATCTGGCTGAATTGTCTTTTTAAAGTGCCTTGAGATATGTGTTGTGAATTGGTGCTTTAAAAATAAACTGAAGTGAATCACAGACGTATTTTACTGTAGATTAAGTGGGTGTTAAACCAAGAGGAGTCACCTGTTTGACAATCAGTATTAGCTACAGATGGGATGATACAATAGACTCCATCTTCTTCTTCTGGTAACTTCAAACACAAGAATGTTAAAAAAAAAAAAAAAAGGGGGGGGGGGAGATGAATTAATGAAATCGAAGAAAAATGTAAGCAAGCAAATGTAATGTTAAAGGCTATTATAAAATATATTTAATTTACCATTTCTGTGTTGTCAGTCATTTTTACCCATACAGATGGAACTAGAAAACATATGTTAATACATTTGATAAACAGAAAATACCAAACTGCATATCTGTATATGAAGTAGGAATAACAAACTTTAGCATTTAATTTTTTTACAGGAATCTTTTACCTGTAGAGTCATTTCTTTTTCTGAAAAAAACAAAAAAAGTTATTTAGTCAGTATACGAACAAGAGAAAAGCAAATAGTATATAAACCAATTAATTTAGATTCTTTGTGAAAAAAAATAAAATAAAAATAGTGATATTTGAGGTTAAACATAAATTAAGTGTTAAAGTAGGAGTGGTGTATTATGCACATGTTGGTACATTGCAAGGCTGGAGTTTTACAAAACAAAGTTGGCTTGTCTCAAGAAAAAAGTTATCATGTAATAGGAAAATTAGTTTTTAGGTCATAAGTAAAACATTAGCATGTCAGAGAACAAAGAAAACAAATGTCAGGTCTCTGATTTCAAGAAAAAAAGTTGCTAGGTGTTAAAATAGTTTTCAGATCTGTGGTCTGATGAAAATACTTTCTCAGGTCTTAGGACTAAGCCTATGAGTTTTCAGGCCTTTGGAATAAACCTGTCAGCTCTCAAATCACAGGAATACACTCATTTAGTTTTAGTGAAATCTTGTTCAAAAAAGCAGATATTTAAGATTAACACTTTAGACAAAAGAGGAAAAAGAAGCAGAGACACAAAAACTTAGTGCTGATCGTTCACTCAGGCTCAGTGAGCATTAGCATTCAGACAGAACTCTTACTTAAAAATAATTAAGAGTAAATAATGTGGTTTCAGCTGAAGACCTCTGTATCTCTACTCCCAGACCTGCAGGTCACAGGGTGAAGAGAGAGAAGAAGGGGTCGGCTGCTTAAGTAATCTCTGTAGCAGAGATGTGATGTCATGGGGGAGTCACTCTTGCTTACATCCTTTGATATTTCCCCCCAAATACCAGGCGTCATTTAGACATTTGTTTTTAGACAAAATCTGGACTTTCCTTCTTGATTTACTCCTGAAATAGTTGAAAATTGCTGTGTTTGGTCAATCTGATTTTGTCCCATTTTAGTCCAATAATGGACATTGATAAGATATTTAGAACTGGGTTTTCAGCATGTTTTCAACTATCTGAAAATTGCAGCTTTTCAGCTTTCACCTTTCAACCAACTATAGTCTTGTTTAGGACAAAAATCATTTCATCTTTCCAATGGCTTTTCAACCAATTTGTGCTCATTTGGTTGATCTCCAACGAGACCTAAGTCTTTTGTCCTAAGACCTGTCCTAAAACATCTACTGTAGGGGTATCGTAGGTATGAGTATTTCTGGTGTTAGTTGGAGATATTTTAGCCAAATTGTCAAGAGTGGCAAAGTATTCAAGAGATTAATTTTGGTTGCAAGTTAACCAAAACTGGAAAATTTCTATTTAAAACGATCCACACTCAGATAAGTAAATCAACAACAAATTAAAAGATTAATTTGAACAGATAAAAGATTAATTAAAACAGTGTAAGGGACAGACCCAAATTAATTTAAACCTCAGCATGTTTAAAATGCATACAGAGGTCTAATCACAAAAAAGAAACATCTGCATTTACATCATAACAACGCATTTTAACCAATATGAATTTATGCAATACCATAAAGATAAATAAAAAAAACTTGCTTTCTTAAGCTTCTATTTAGTGACTCTTTTATAATATTACACCAGAAGGGTTAACAAGATTTGTTAATAAAAAAAAAATGGCTCACTAAATTTTTAGCTTTTATTCCCTGTTATGTAAAACACTTCACCATATTATTTGAAGACTGTAGGTGTATGTACGAGTGTGTATTTTGGCCAAGAAGAAAACAATTATTTTTAAATTAAATCAGATTATTTTAATTATTATTACATTAGTGATCTAGAATTCATGGATAAACTGATTATTTTGTGAGTCTTATTACAATTTTAATATGTAGTTCTAAAAAAGGGAAAATAACTTCTCTGCACTTTTTCAAAATGCTCCAAGATTGAACTAATTTGCGCTGATTCGCATCTCTTTCCTTTCGTGTTGCACTGTGTTTTATGCGTATCTATTATTATTATCGGGGGATTTTTTGTGTTTTGTTTTAGCTCTTTTAGATGTTGAAATAAACTGATTTGCAAAGTAAAAGTAATGTACAAGAAACCTCCCTTACATATTAAAAGTCTTCATGCCCAGTTTTCTATAAGTTTATTGTTTGTTTGTTTTTAAGCGGGAGGTTGAAAAGTAACAAAAAACAGCTGTTACCTTTTGTGCAATCCTTTTTCTAAAAAGGAAAGAGAAGTGCATTAACTCAGAGACTTAATTTACTACAATGCATTTTATCTATTACAAACTCTAAAACTAACAACATCTTTTTACGGTGCAAAACTGCACATAATAAACAACTTAAAAGCTTGAGTCCAATAACAGTTCCTTAAAAGCTATAATGTAAATATAAATGCATCTGCTCTCATTGCAGTTCTTTGATACTTTAAAATTACTTCTGCAGACTGGTAACATCCTACTATTGTTAAACTCTGATCAAATACATCCCACCTGCAACAGTTCAGCTGTAAGCGGTTTGATTTCATATGATACAATGATGAATTAAGATACTATTTTGGCAGAATGTTGCTTATAAAAAATTTTCTAAATTTTCTCACCTGTCTTTCTTTTGGCTCGGAGACATGCTGCTATCATCAGAATGGCAAGAACAGTCAGTCCACTGGCAGTTGCTGCTATAATCAGTTTCCACATTTCTGTTGGAGAGGTCATAAATAACTTTGATTTGGATATCTCACCCTTATAACTGTTTTAAAGTCTGAAAATCTAATGGGTCTGTCTTAAATAAAAACAAAACAAACAAAGCTTAAATTTCATACAGAAATACTGTATGTCTGTAAATTAATAAATCAGTTTGAAAGGACGTTTTTAGAAACCAGAGTATATTAGACCTTAGAACAGTCTCAAGAACTTGCTGCAGTATACACACTATAAAAAAGCTATTAAAAAAATAAGTGAACATTGTTCACTTATTTTTTTAAATAGCCAGATGCTGGCTGCAATCAGCTGGTTTTCCTAAGATAGAATACGTTTAACCGACCTCACAGTGTGCCCTAATTAAAAATATGCTTTAAACTGCTTTAAGATGAAATGTGTTGTGATTTGTTACTATGTATATTAATTAAGAAGAAATAAAAGAAACATTTAATATTGACAGCAAAATAAGTGCTGTATGTCACCTTTATTTTTGTCTTTAGAGTTGAGATCTTCTTTTTTGCCTTTCCCCCCTTCACGAATAGAAGACACACGAGGAGTCACTAAGACAGAAATTATACCAGATATTGTCGGTTTAATGCTGAAATGAAAAATCTTTTTTTTTCTTTGTTATTTTTAAATGTCTTAACAAAAAAGATCTTATAAGATTAAAGATCTTATAAGGTTATTACTTTCTGACAATCAAGCAGACTAAGCTTTCCTGTTGTCAGGTAAGTTTATCAAATGTTTGTCATGTTCAACTTTGTATACATCATAGGATTCAGGAAGAAAGTTTGGTGCTCCAGAGAGGACAGAGGAAAATGTGCATAATTTTCCAAACAAAAGCAAGAAGCTTTGAAGGTGATAACAAAAGCAAGTTTCAATATTCACAGTAAACCATGTTGTTTACTAATATGAACTGATATGCATCGGAGGAGGGAGGAGCCATAACTATAAATCCAACTTTAAAGTAGATAATAGTTTGTTAAAAAAGTATTTAGGGATAGAGACCCCTACTTTTTCAGAGACATGTCCTCATTGACAATAGAGGGAAGCCTGCATGCCTGAAAAGGTGTGAGGTAGAAGCATTATGATGTATGGGCTAGTTTGTGTTTTGCACTGTAAAAAGTGTGACTGGGATAAATTTTCATCCCATCCATTTTCTGACACACTTATCCCAGCTGGGGTGGCATGGGGTGCTGGTGCCTTTTTCCAGCAGTCTATGGGCAAGAGGCGGGGTACACCCTGGACAGGTCACTAGGCTATCGCAGGGCAAAACGGAAACAAACGGGAAAAACAACCATTCACGCACACACACTAACACCTAAGGAGAATTTACAGAAGCCAGTTAACCTAACAGTCATATTTTTGGGCTATTGGAGGGAGCCGGAGTACCCGGAGTGATGAATACACAGGGAAAGCATCCAAATTTCATGCAGAAAGACCCAAGTCTGGGAATCAAACCCGGAACTTTCTTGCTATAAGGCAGCAGTGCTACCCACTGTGTCATTGTGTAGCTCTGGGCTAAATTAATATGTACAAAATACTTATTGCCTATAAATAAAAAATGCTGTGTAGTTTTTTCATGATCTGCCCTGTTAGCTGGTCTTAATGGTTCATTTCATTCACCTGTCTAACTCTGCCTGGTTTTTAAATATCACTGATCTCATCCAGCTGCACGTTCTGCTTTATATTCGGCTCAGCTAACAGGGCAGATTATGACAAGTTTTGTATATTATTAGATTAATTTACAAAACCTTTATTTATTTATCAATAGTACTTTACTTATTTTTGTATTAATAGCTGAAATATACTTAGTATAATTTGATTATATTTTATCAGTAAGGTGAACAGGTTGAAAATATTTTAACCAATGGGAGACTTTTGGATTTAATCGACATGCAATATTTAAGCCAGCCACAACCAGTTGACCATAAGCTGAAAGTTGGTGCTATTTATTTAAGATAAGAATGAGTATGAAAGCGCGATTGTGACAAATCTCACACAAATAAATGTTTACTTGCTTTTTTCTAAATTCACTGTAAAACTGAATATTGAAAGTAATTAGTTAGACTCAGTAGTTAAAGCTCATTAGTTTGTTTAATTTCTGCCTTTTGAAATGTGTTGAGTTGGTGTAAATCACATTTAACTAAGACTTTTGGATTAAAATCAACCATTTGTCTATCGATTGAGCTTAACTTAAATTACTTAATAAAGAACAATTTACCTCTAATAAGAAAGTATGAGCCCAGATTTTGACAATATGACCCCATTGGCTGAGTAGCTGGCAATAGGTGAAACTAGCACCACCATACCATGAGTGAGGTTGCTGTTACATTTAAACAGGATTTTCCAGTTAATTTTTAATAGATTGCCTCAATGTTTGTAATATATTTACTTACTTACACAAAATTATTCTTAATCAAATATTTGGTAGAATTTTAGCAAAAAAAAAAAAAAGACAGTATTATTCAGATATTTGTTTTAAATAAACACCAAAAAAACAAAAAAAAAAAAAAAACATTTAATCCAGGCAGTTAATCTTAATTACTTTTCCCAATAGTCATCTTAATATCGGGCGGCTCAGTGCCACAGTGGGTAGCACTGCTGCCTAGAAGCAAGAAGGTTCTGGGTTCGATTCCCGGCCCAGGGTCTTTATGCATGCACATTACATTGCAGTACAAAAAAAATGTCTCCCAAAGCCATTCTGTATGTCATATAGTCCTTCAAATTAAAGTTAAAATATCAAAGTGCAAAGTTTGCGTGTTAGTACATTTTCCTACCTGATTTGGTTGTTGTGAGGGCACTGGTCGTACCCATTGTTGACTCAGTCATACCTAAATACAAAAAACGGTTTGTTACAATGTTCTGGGTCACTGCTGATATTCTTTGCCTATTTTTCATGTCATGACTGTGGCTCTGAAAGTTGTCAGCTTGATTGATTATTTGGGGGAAATTAAATAAAAATTCTTAGTGGAAAAATACACTATATTGCCAAAAGTATTTGCTCACCCATCCAAATTATTGGAATCAGGTGTTCCAATCACTTCCATGGCCACAGGTGTATAAATTCAAGCACCTAGGCATGCAGACTGTTTTTACAAACATTTGTGAAAGAATGGGTCGCTCTCAGGAGCTCAGTGAATTCCAGCGTGGAACTGTGATAGGATGCCACCTGTGCAACAAATCCAGTCGTGAAATTTCCTCGCTCCTAAATATTCCACAGTCAACTGTCAGCTGTATTATAAGAAAATGGAAGTGTTTGGGAACGACAGCAACTCAGCCACGAAGTGGTAGGCCACGTAAACTGACGGAGCGGGGTCAGCGGATGCTGAAGCGCATAGTGCGAAGAGGTCGCCAACTTTCTGCAGAGTCAATCACTACAGACCTCCAAACTTCATGTGGCCTTCAGATTAGCTCAAGAACAGTGCGCAGAGAGCTTCATGGAATGGGTTTCCATGGTCGAGCAGCTGCATCCAAGCCATACATCACCAAGTGCAATGCAAAGCGTCGGATGCGGTGGTGTAAAGCACGCCGCCACTGGACTCTAGAGCAGTGGAGACGCGTTCTCTGGAGTGACGAATCGCGCTTCTCCATCTGGCAATCTGATGGACGGGTCTGGGTTTGGCGGTTGCCAGGAGAACGGTACTTGTCTGACTGCATTGTGCCAAGTGTAAAGTTTGGTGGAGGGGGGATTATGGTGTGAGGTTGTTTTTCAGGAGCTGGGCTTGGCCCCTTAGTTCCAGTGAAAGGAACTCTGAATGCTTCAGCATACCAAGACATTTTGGACAATTCCATGCTCCCAACTTTGTGGGAACAGTTTGGAGCTGGCCCCTTCCTCTTCCAACATGACTGTGCACCAGTGCACAAAGCAAGGTCCATAAAGACATGGATGACAGAGTCTGGTGTGGATGAACTTGACTGGCCTGCACAGAGTCCTGACCTCAACCCGATAGAACACCTTTGGGATGAATTAGAGCGGAGACTGAGAGCCAGGCCTTCTCGTCCAACATCAGTGTGCGACCTCACAAATGCGCTTCTGGAAGAATGGTCAAAAATTCCCATAAACACACTCCTAAACCTTGTGGACAGCCTTCCCAGAAGAGTTGAAGCTGTTCTAGCTGCAAAGGGTGGACCGACGTCATATTGAACCCTATGGATTAGGAACGGGATGTCACTTAAGCTCATATGTGAGTCAAGGCAGGTGAGCAAATACTTTTGGCAATATAGTGTATATGTGATACGTTTATTATATAAAAAGCTTTAACTGTATTTTAAACAATAGTATTAAAAAACAGACCTTATTCTATTTTTTTCCAAACTGCAACATTAAATAATGTATTTAACTTTGCTAGGTAATTTAGTACATACTAAAGAATTAGGTGGATTTTAATTAGATGTTAAACCGTTAGAAGAGGCCTTGTTAGCTTCACAGGACTAGTTTTAGATATATTTATTTATATGTTTTTAAAAATCCCGCATCAAGTTTAAATAATAAAAAAGTAAACATATAAAATTAGGTCTCAAAAGTAATAAAAAAAAAAAAATCTTATTTTTTCCTGTTTCTGCTGAAAGACACTGAAATTAGTAAAACATTTATTGAAATCAACTCACCAGCGAAGCTGTATGGATCACTACGAGCCGTTAAAAATGTTTCATCATTCTCCAAAACGTAATCACAGCTGACCTCCTTCTGTTGAACTACATGTAGGTAACTCAGTATTTCATCTTCTGGAATCTCAGTCTGGCAGGACCATTGATTTGTTCTTGAGTTCCTCGTTACAGTCTTTGTTTTGACTGGATGACTTGATTCTCCAAAGTACAGGTTACATGTTGTGTCATGTTTCACAGATCCAGCCAGAGAGCAGGTGAAGATAGCATAATGACCCTTATAATAATTTACAGCCAGTTGCGGTTTTACATCTAGATAAGAAATGATTTTTGCAAGAAGGCATAGTAAAACATTATGTTGAAGCAGTGAAAGAAAAAACTTGTTAAACACAGATGCAAACTATAAAATCAGATCTCAACTTTTTTTTTTTTTTTTTTGACAATTTCTAAGAAACAAAACTAAATACTAAAATATCTAAGAAAGAAAAAGTCACTTACCAATAATGATGTGTAATATATTACTGTGGGGAGATGGAGAGTCTAAGGCCCCATATATTACAGTGTAATAACATCTGACAGCAACCACAGAGGGGGAACTTTGCTTAGACATGAACAGCAGCTCAGTTCCTGTTAATGTGTTTTTGCAGGGGAAAGATCTCTGAGTTCCTCCGTTTACATAAAAACGACACTGATGAACAGAAACATGTTTTGGAGCCTGACAGCTTAAGGTGACTTTATCTGTGTCTTTGATTCTTGATGAATTCACTGTTAGTTCAGCCTGAGGAAGGGCTGAAATATAGACAGAGGAAAACATGTAATTACTTCATCCACATTGTAATATTTGATGATAATATTATTATTTTACTCGTCAGTTTATGAATGGAAATACATCTTTACTGAACCTTTTTTAAGGTATTCGGTCACTGCAGTAGAAGGTATTAAATTACATTCATAACACAGCTAACATGAGAATCAACAGACACTGACCTTGTACTTGGGTTGCATAAAAAGGACCTGGTTGAATAATAAAAGCAATTTTTAAGTACTTCTTATTTACACACAGCGAAAACATAATCTGTAAAGTTATTAAAAATTGTGGAAAAAACAACACCTATCAGTGTAAATTATTTTTATTTCAAACAGCATTTTTTTCTCAGCATAAACAGAACACTTAAGCATACAGACAGTGAGACCAAACCAAATTTGATGTTAATTCTTGTTTCTTATCAGTAAAAAAACAACATTATTTTTGAAAGCAAGTAGAAAATTGTACCTACCCAAGAAGATGAGAAATAACAATCTTTCCATTATAATTAAAATAGACCTAAACTGTAATCATAATCTTTGAGAAAAAAAAAGAGCATCTGACTAAACCAAGTTAGGTGTAATGTTCTGCATTTGCGGGAAAACCAGAGAGAGCAACAGAATAACTCAAAGATACAACCCACAAACACACAACCAGTTTAATCATTGTAAATGATTAAAATTAATTACTTCCTTGACCAAGACTAGATTCAAATGGCACTAAGCTTTTCAGGAATGCAAACAGTCTTTTCATTTCATTTCCCTTTTTAGTTAATTTCCTTATCTGTATAGTAGTTCTGTTTTTGTTTTGTTTTTTCCTTCTTTACAGGTAGGTGGTGAATATTAGTGCCTTTGAGTATATCTAGGTAAAATAATTTCCCCATCTTCACGTAGTGTTTATACTTTAAAACAAAGCAGGGCAAAGCAGTGTTTATACTTTAAAACAATTCACAGGAAATGAAACAAAAAGAAAGTTATTTTAATTTTCTTTGATTTTCACTCAATCTTGCTTAGTTCACTGGGCTGAGGCTCGGGTGTTTAGTTGTTATCCTGTGAAAAGAAAGAGGCATTTATTAAAACCCTTTTTGAGTAGTTTCCTGATGTCATTTTCAACTGAGATTGTACAATGTTTCACAGAGTGCTTCTCCAAATGCCCAAATTACATTTAATGTTACAATTCCTTTAAATACTATATGTATATATACAAACAGATTACCAGTATTCCAGCTGTAGTTAGCTGCACTGTAGGGTCATCACATCCTACTTGTAAATGATGAAGAAAAAGCATTATTAGCATTATTTGAAGAAAACGAATATACCAAATGGATAATAGTTGCAGAAGGTATTTTAATAAACCCCTCTGTTGTTCAAACTAGGCACTGACATTTTTTTAACTTGAATAAGCCTGAAAAGGAATATTCTCATAAAGAGGCATAAAAAACACATTATTATTAGTGGTGCCTCTTAAACTTTTTGTTAATGAGCAATAAGCTTATTTTCCTTTACCTGAAATTTCAGGAATGGATCTGAAGCAGCGAAATACATTTTTTAACCATTGTGTTTGAAATAGAATGGAGATGAAAAAGACATGTTTTAGGCTACGCTCATACTGCAGCCTGAAGTGACCCAAATCCGATTTTGTTTTGCCCATATTTGACCTGTATCAAGTTTTGTCAAGTTTCAAGAATTTATTGTCATTGTCAAAAAAAGGCAACGAAATTATGTTTGGGGTATAATACTTAGTAGCAGCAAGTTCCAAGTAAAGTGCACAAGAGGTAAAAGTGACACCAGTGCTTGACCCCCCCAGCCCCGCCCCCCCCATCCCACTTAAAGTGCAGCAAAGATTATTAAGTGCCATAATGCTTGCCCCCCCAACACACACACACGCACGCACGCACGCACACACACACACACACAGAATAAATACACAGCTCCCAACCAGACTATAATAACGGGGCCCTAATGAATAAGGCAAATCATTCAGAATTCAGAATTTAGGTAGTCCGTTCCTCAAGTCCTGTGAATTCAAGAGTCTTATGGCCTGGTGGTATAGGCTGTATCTGATCTTTTCACGGCAGTCTGCACAACACAGATCCGATTTTTACCAATGTGACCAAGGCCACTTGGCTATGTGGTCCTGAATCCGATATGTATCTGATCTTTTGAATAATCTTCAAATAATGATCTTCAAATGCGACCCATGTCTGAACAGGTCACATTCAGCTGACCTGAACGTCATTAATACTCAACAAAGGTCACTATTCTGCTATGCAGAAGCGGGAAGAAAAAACACAACAATGTCAGACGATAATGCGGGGAGCAGTCTTTTTTTTAACCATCTTGAAAAGATTGAGTTTTTAAGGTCGGGAAAAATCGCTAGATACGCTCCAGCACTGCCATCCATGTTTACTCCCGTGAACACAGAGCACGCTTGCTTGTGATGTCATTGCATCCTCTACTGCACATGCAGGACACTTAAGCTGTAAGAATGCAGTTTACACAGGAGATCACATACAAGTCGCATATATTTGGAAATGTGAACAGCAATTTTAAAAAAAAATTGGTTTTCACAAAAAAATCGGAATGAGCATCAAGGCCTGCAGTGTGAATGTAGCCTAAGATACAGAACTGGTATAAAAAAAAAATAAAAAAAATTAATTTCAGGATTTAATGTATCAAACCATAATATAGATGATTCACTCATTATAGACTTCATTCATGAACAGCCCACTACTGACACTTGAAAAATTTTCTTTGTAGTTGTAGAATTATGAGTATTGTGTGTTTATTTATCCAATGGTGTTTTTGATTATTAACTGTAGAGAGTCAACCAATCATATAAAGAGTCAATTTGATTTATACCTCTATTTGGCATGATGTTTTTAAGAGCTCTGACCCACATGCAGAGAACCACTCAGAGAACCAGGGGAAAATTTTAACAGGTGTATTGATAAGGAACACTGGAGTTGTATCTGGAGCTCAGAAAACAGGTGAACCGGAATTAGAAGGTCTGGAAAGGGGATCACTGTGATTAGTTCAGGGTCCGTAGGAAATCTGATTGAGATCTTGAAAGCTGTCAAAACGGAACTCACGTTAGAGGGGGTTTCTTGTTTGTCCTTGAATCCAGTTGGTGTGGGTTTATAGAGAGAGGAGGGAACTCGGAGGGCGGACAGGTTGATTTTGGTAGGACCCTGAGGAGCAATGGACCGGACTGCCACTTGGATTTCCGTGGGAACTTGAACGGGACGTGTGGAGGTTTTTCCCCTGCTCTGTGTGAACACAAACAATCCTTCCAGGGGGAGAAAGCCAAACATCCAGTATGCAGGAAGGCTTCCTGCCGAAAGGCAAAGACAAAAATCAACGTTAGTCTCAGAGAAACAAAACTCACATTAGACTCAGCTAAACTCAGCTTGGCTAGAGTACCCAAAACTGGCAAACAAACTCTGGCGTCGAGGTAGTGACAGTCCACTGCTCAAATACTCCTCAGTGATGAATCAATGAGCCGCAGGTGTGCAGGAGGACCAATGAGGACAGGGCACCACCTGGTGGTGGAGGGAGAGAAAAAAAAACAAAAAAACCCACACAAACTGGATTCCTAACACTATTTGAAAGCAGAGAATGATTTACCTAAGCAAGTCTGACTCATATGTAGGTATAAGTTCTGGATGCCTCAAGGTGACAAATTAATCTGGTTTATAAATTGTATACAAAGATAAACAGCATAAGAATGTTTAACAATTATTCTTCTTGAAGGGAAATTAAGATATTTTAGTGTCAACTTATATAGCCCAAAACATAAGCTATAGACTTTTGTAAAGATGCTGGTTGAAGCCGATAGTGTTTTATCTGCATAGAAGGTCTGTACCAACATTTGCTGAAAATCAGAAAGCAAGGCAGAATACTTTTGTTGAAAAGAAATGTAAAAAAGCTATGTCTGTTGGGATCCAGAGGCTTGCCCTGCAGAGGGCGCCGAGGATCCCTTCCTGTTTATTTGTTTTTCTGTTGGGATCTGGGGTGCTGTCTACTTTCCTCCACCAGAGGGCGTACTGGATCTCCTGAACCTGGAGCTGCCCTCAACAGCTGATTCTCATCTGCTCATCAGGGGACCAGTACTTAAGTGGGCTGTGGACAACACCCCGACGCCAGAGTGTTTGTTAACCACGGTACAGCTACCCTGAGCCAACCAGCCTGTCTGATTCTCTGACTCCACTGTAACCAGAACCAGAACCTGATCAGTTGTGTCTTGTCTGCTTCTAGGAAGAAACCTGACTGAACCCTGGACTCTGGAGGAGTCTCCATTGCCGAACTCTGCCTGCCGAATCTCAGGAGCTCTGGAGGAGCTCATCGTCTGAAGCCTGCCAACCAGCTCTTGACTGAACCCTGGAAACTCTGGAAGAGTCTCCCTTACTGATATCTGCCTGCCGCATCTCAGGAGCTCTGGAGGAGCTCATCACCAGAAACCTGCCTTCCTGCTCTTGGTTGTCAACCAGGAGATCTACAGCCCGAATCTGCCTGCCTGTTCTCTAGGTGAGAACTTAGAGTAACCCAAGGACTGAGTCTCAGCTAGTGAGAAGCCTAGCCCTGCTGCTGCCTAACCCTCTGCTAATCCCTCTGACTCTGGACTCCTCTGGTTTCCTCTCTCAGCCAGAACCAAAGACCAGAGTATCCTGTGTGACCAGCATGGACTCATTCTGTATCAGTACAATCATCTGGATTGTGTTTTCTTTAATAAACTGTTGAACTTTTCATCCAGTCTCCGTGGTGTTCTGCGTTTGGGTTTAGCTTCCATAACCCATCATGACAATGTCACCATTGGCAAATGCAAACAGAAACAAAAATTATACATTTTTGAGTCAGGTGCTGTGATTTGGTGAAACCTAAAATCAAGTCTTACAGCAATAACCCTCATTTCATTTGGGGGAGAAATGAGGAAGACCGATAACATCCAAACTGTGCAAAGGGGAGAACCTTAAGTTGCTAATATGGCTGGTCTGCTGTACAAAATTAATGACCCTGTGGAAAAGAAAAGAAAAATGAAAAAACTTGTGCCTGCAGACAAATACATCTTTAAATCCACAATTACTGAAATATACTGTCAAATTATTTTCAAAGTGGCTCAGAATAGCAAATGAAATGCATGGATTGGTCAACAGACTGTAATCTCATCCCATGCAATATTTTTGAGGAATGCCTGTTGAAAGGAATGTTTGATCTGCATTTTAATATGTGTTTATAAAAGCCATTGGGCTGCTGTTGTTGGGGTTTGTAGAAGTGCTGCCTTGCAGCAAGAAGGTCCTAGGTTTGATTCCAGGTACAGGGTTCTTCTGGAGTTTGCATGTTCTGGCTTTCTCTCACAGTCCAAACGATATGACTTTAAGGTTAAATGGTATCTCTAAATTATCCATAGATGAGAGTGCTTTATGTGTGGGTTTATATGGTTGTGTGTCTCTGTGTTACCCTGCGATGGTCTGGCAACCTGTCTAGGGTATATTCCGCCTTACACCCACAGACTACTAGATAAAGCCTTACTGCAATACTGACGGCTGAAGTGGGGGAAGATATATGGATGTATTCATTGGATTTTCATTGCTTTCACAGTAAATTGCTCAAATTTAGCATGATATAAAATTTACATTGTTAATTCACACTATTCACAGATATGAAATCACAGTTAATTGAGTATGTTTCACAGTAATCC